ATTAACATCAAGGAAGGTAAAAACAAATCACTTATCCACTTAGAGAATTCATCCAAGCACTCTTGCGGTCATTGATCATCAAGCAATCAATTCTCAAGTGCATCAAGAACAAAGAACAACACTACTACGGACCAGTTCCCCACAGCAAGTCATTGTATGTCCTTAGTTGAGTTGTAACTTTATAATAGTTCTTAAACTGTATTTCCTACTTAGTTTGTTTAGAAGTATTCTGTAGGAAACTCTTTGTAAACCTTAAACCTTTGTGTTTGAGTCTTGGCTAGAGTTAGTCGAGTTGTAAAGTCTTTGTAATAGAGTTATTACAAAGTGGCTTGTAATAGAGTATTACAAGTTAGTGAGGGATTACGAGGTTAATTCCTAGGTTGCATAGGTTGTAATCTAAAAGTTGCTCAGTAGTGAAGTTGAAATCCTACAAGGGTAGGTCATGGTTTTTAATCCCGTTGACTGGGTATTTTCCACGTAAAATTCCTCTAGTCATTTACTTATTGCTATGTGCGTGTGTTCCAGTGGAACCGATAGAGAACCTGGTTCTCTATAGAGTTTGATGGACCCTTATATTTTATAAATTAGTATCATAGCAGGTTTTTTCTATCAGGTTAACACCTAGAAAGCATCCTCATGGCTGCTCCTCCAAACTTAGAAGAAGGCCAGTCTACTTACAGACCACCTAGGTTCAATGGACAGTATTACGGATGGTGGAAAACTAGGATGCACGACTTCATCATGGCTGAAGATTCTGAGCTATGGGATGTCATATGTGACAGACGCTTTGTCCCTATCAAGAACCTTGGCGACCCAGCTGTAGCCATTCCCAAGACAAGGAAGGAATTCAATGACGCTGATCGAAAAGCTGTAGAAAAGAATTTTCATGCGAAGAAAATTCTTGTTTGTGGCATTGGTCCTAATGAATACAACAGGATATCAGCATGTCAGTCACCCAAGGGAATCTGGGAAGCTCTTCAGATAGCTCACGAAGGAACAACACAAGTTAAGTAATCCAAGATCGACATGCTCACAACTGAATACGAGCTCTTTAGGATGAAAGATGATGAATCCATCCAAGATATGCATACTCGGTTCACCTCCATCATTAATGAGCTTAACTCTCTTGGTGAAACTATTTCAAGAAGCAAGCTTGTTAGGAAAATCCTTAGTGTACTGCCCAGTTCTTGGGAAAGCAAAGTGAATGCCATTACGGAGGCGAAGGACTTGCAGACACTGACCATAGATGAACTTGTTGGCAATCTAAAAACATATGAAATGAAGAAGAAGGACAATGAAAGAAGAGAAAAAGGGAGAAGAACCTGGTTCTCAAGACAGACAATAATGATTCAAGTGGTGAGGATGGTGATATGGCTTACTTGACAAGAAGATTCCAGAAGATGGTTCGCAGGAATGGAGGCATTCCGAAAAGGGAAAGTTCTAGCAAGCCAAAATATTATGACCTCTGTCATAAATGTGGCAAGCCAGGACACTTCATCAAGGAGTGCCCTCTCCTAAAGCAAGATCAGCACAAAAACAACTTTGACAAAGCAGCCAAGAGGAACCCGGTTCCTGATAAATGCTTCAAGAGAAAGAATGTCGCTGACAACTTTGTAAAGCAAGCTCTTGCTGCATGGGGAGACTCCTCCAGCGAATCTGAAAAAGAAGATGATCATGATGATACTTCAATGATGTCAGTGGAAAGTGAAGCAAATAAGTATGACTCAATCTTTGCCTTGGTGGTTCAATCTGATGATGATGAAGATGACGACGACAATGAGGTAAATTTTCTAGATGTTCAAAGAAATCTGAAATCTTATTCTCCTAAAAAACTCATGCCTTTGGCAAATGTGTTGATCGATGCTTATCACAGTCTTATAAATGATATTATACCTTAACTGTGGAGTTAGGATAAGCAGAATAAACCAGAGATGACTTACTAATCATTGTTGTTGACTTAAAGGAAAAAAATTGAGAACCTGAAGAAAGAGAAGGATGCCATGGATGAAAAAATTGCACATATAGAACATGAAAGAGATGATCTAATGGTCTCTGTGATAGACCTAAAAGAGACCTTTGAGTGTGTAAGAAAGGGAAAAGAAGTCTTAGCTGAGAGAGTTGCTAATATTGAGCATGAGAGAGATGACCTATTAGTGGTGGTAGTGGACTTGAAGGAAACAATTGGGGAACCTAAAATAGAAAGTAGGCCTGAAAATTCTCAAAAGGGAAAGGAAGTTACAAGTGAGGCACACATTAAGCTTGAAAGTGAGTTAAATTCAGTGGTCTAGTCTGTGTGCTGAGCTTGAGAAAAACAAACAACTTCATGAAGAACTAGGAAGAGTGAAGAGTGACCTTGAAAAATCACTCAAGTGGACCTGGTCCTCTGATGCTATCACTGCCATGTACACCAACAATGGGGGAAACAGGCAGGGGATCGGGTTCCAAAGGGAAGAGATTTCCTACAACCCTTATAGCAAGTACGTTACTGTACCTGATAATTGGCTTTGCACTCACTGTGGCAATACTGGGCACTTTAAAGAAAACTGTAAGGCCAGATTTCAGTCACAGCAGAAAAACAAAATTTTCGCTAAAAAAATAACTACTGGTAGAGAACCTGGTCCCTCATATAAAAAGTGCATGATGCCTGCTTGGACCAGAAGATCCCTCATTCACCCATTTCCTCATTACAAGGGACCCAAACTTGTTTGGGTTCCTAAGTCTAACTTCTGATTTTCTTGTGCATGGGACAATGAAAGGAAGCAGCCTACAATGGTACATGGATAGTGGCTGCTCAAAGCATATGACTGAAAGTACAAATGATTTCCCTTCACTTAAAGCCCTGCAAGGAGGGAGTGTATCCTTTCGAAATGGCAAGAAAGGATACATTCTAGGAGTTAGAAGGATTGGGAAGTCTCTCTCACACTCAATCGAAAATGTGTACTACTTGAACGAGTTGAAGTACTGCTTGCTAAGTGTTTCCCAGATCTGTGACAAGGGAAACAAGGTGGAATTTGTATCAAAAATATGTACAGTCACAAACCTAGTGACTGGTGAGGTGATGCTAGTAGCAAAAAGATACAAAAATATCTATGTTGCTAATTTTGAGTCTCTACGGAATGGTGATCTCAACTGTCTAAGTGTTATTGATGATGATGCTGAATTATGGCATAGGAGGATGGGTCATGCAAGTTTCACGTTGCTGAAGAAATTGGTCAGGAAGGACTTGGTTCGTGGTCTGCCCAAGTCAAGTTTCAAGGACCACAAAGTGTGTGATGTATGTGTAAAAGGCAAGCAAGTTAGATCCTCATTCAAGCCCAAAAAGGAAGTCAGTACCTTAAGGACGCTTGATCTTCTTCACATGGATCTATGTGGACCCATGAGGGTGGCAAGCAGGGGAGGAAAGAAATATATCTTCATTATAGTTGACGATTACTCCAGATTCACCTGGACTCTGTTTCTCAGAACCAAGGATGAAACCTTTGAAGTATTTGTTGCCTTCGTTAAAAGGATTCAAGTGAAGATGCGTAATAATGTAGCTTGTATCAGGTGTGATCATGGGACAGAGTTCGACAATGCCAAATTTGATGAGTTATGTACTAAAAATGGTATCACTCATAATGTTTCAACTACAAGAACACCTCAACAAAATGGTGTTGTGGAGAGGAAGAATAGAACTCTTGAAGACATGGCAAGGACAATGTTGATTGACAGTGGGATCGCAAAGAATTTTTGGGCAGAAGCTGTCAATACTGCTTGCTACTTGGTGAACAGGTGCATGATCAGGTCCCTTCTGAACAAGACTCCATATGAACTGCTGAATGGAAGGAAGCCCAAACTGACACATCTAAGGACTTTTGGGTGTAAATGCTTTGTCCTCGACAATGGAAAGGAAGCTCTTGGAAAATTCGATGCCAAAAGTGATGAAGGAATCCTTCTGGGATACTCATCCCAAATCAAAGCTTACAAAGTATACAACAAAAGGACTCAATATGTTGAAGAGAGTATATATGTGATCTTTGATGAATCTCACCTCTCCTGTGAGAAGGACAGATGTGTTGACCAAGATGAAGAACCTTTATCTGTTTTAGGTGAAATTATTTACATGGCAAATGGAAAAACTGACATGATGAGTCAGGTCAAGGATTCAAATGACAATGGCACAGATGGATCTCCAGCTGACATAGAGGAACCCAGTTCCTCAATCACAACAATTGAAGTTGAAAATATAGTTGTTGATGCAGTCTAAGGTACTTCACTTGCTGAAGTAAGAAGCGCCCAAGAATCTCAGTCAGACATACTTGGGCCCTCTACCAATGAGGTTCAGGTACCAAATTGGAAGCACAAAAGCTCACATCCTCTTGATAACATAATCACCCCTTTTGACTCAGGAGTTCAAACTAGATCAAAAGCAAGAAACCCACTTGCCTTTTCAGCCTTTCTCTCTCAAATAGAGCCTAAAAACATCAAAGAAGCTTTGAAAGATGCTGACTGGATCACAACCATGCAAGAGGAGATGCATCAATTTGAAAGAAACAAGGTATGGCACCTGGTCCCTCGACCTGCAGATCTAACTATCATAGGAACCAGGTGGGTATTCAGGAACAAACTTGATGATTTTGGATATACAACAAGAAATAAGGCAAGGCTTGTAGTTCAAGGTTACAATTAGGAAGAAGGGATCGATTATGATGAAATATTTGCTCCAGTTGCTCGAATGGAAGCCATTAGAATTCTTATTGCCTTTGCATCTCATATGGAGTTCACACTGTTCCAAATGGATGTCAAAAGTGCATTTCTAGTATGGGCTAAAGCAGGCTCCCCGGGTTTGGTATGAAAGGTTGTCAAAATTCCTTCTAAAAAATGGATTTACAAGAGGGAAAATTGACAACACTCTTTTTCTGAAGAAACAAGGGAGGAACCTACTCATTGTTTAGGTATACGTTGATGATATCATCTTTGGAGCCATAACTGATTCTCTTTGTGAAGAATTTGCAAAACTCATGGGGAGTGAGTTCGAGATAAGTATGATGGGAGAATTAACTTTCTTCCTAGGACTTCAAGTGAAACAATCCCTAAAGGGAACATTGATAGGTCAGCAGAAGTACATCAAGGAATTACTGAAAAGGTTTGACATGGAAGCATCAAAAGTCATTGACACCCCTATTGCCACAGCTACCCGTCTAGACATGGATGAACCCGGTTCCCCTGTAAATCAGACCATGTATAGAGGGATCATAGGGTCACTCCTGTATCTTACTGCAAGCAGACCAGACATCATTTTCAGCATAGGTCTTTGTGCAAGATTTCAATCCAATCCAAAGGAATCTTATCTGAATGCTGCCAAGAGAATATTGAGACATCTCAAGGGAACGCATGACCTGGTTCTCTACTATCCCTCGGGTGACAACCTTGATCTTATTGGGTATGCTGATGCTGATTATGCAGGATATCTGGTGGACAGGAAAAGCACGTCTGGAGTGGCACATTTCCTAGGTTCTTGCCTAATCTCAAGGGGTACGCGGAAATAGAACTCAGTGGCACTCTCAACTACAGAAGCAGAATATGTAGCAGCTGCCTCTTGCTGTGCTCAACTACTGTGGATCAAGCAGCTGTTGGAAGACTTTGGATTGCTCTCAAATTGTGTGCCTCTCTTAAATGATAACACAAGTGCACTCAATATGGCAAAAAATCTGGTTCAACATAAGAGGACCAAGCACATTGATGTACGTCATCATTTTCTCAGAGACAATGTTAAAAAAGGCTTATATGCATGAAGTTCTGCAGTACTGAAGATCAAATTGCAGATATTTTCACCAAAGCCCTGAGCAGAGAACACTTTGAGAAAAATCGCTTGGCACTGGGGTTGATAAAACCCAATGGAGAACTTGGTCCCTCAATGATTGGCTATGAAAGAAATGTTTAGGTAAATTCAGCTAAAACGTATTTTCTGGCAAAGTCTAACTCACTTCTACACCGTTACAGGTAGACACACATGATGATTACAGAGCAAATAGGCAGTTGATGCAGTACGCACTGGTAAAAAGGGCAAAGCTTACAGATGCAAGATTAGTCAGGGAACCTGGTTCTCTTGACAACAGGTTAGTAGTTTCTCTATTCTCTCATGCATAATTTTGAACGGTTAAAACAAGTGCCACATCATCAGTATGTCAGTTACTTTTTCCTTGTGTCCTTTGAACCCAAACGCCTCACCCATTGTGAACCGAACCAACTCCCAAGTACCTTGCTTTATGTTACAATTACCTTGCTTTATGTTTTGATGATCTAACAAACTTATTGTCAAGAACTAGATAAGGAACTAGTTACATATCCTCAAGACCTTAAGATCGAAAGGTTCCAGCTTGGAATATTTTTCGACACTTCAGAGTCAGAGGAGAAACAGAGGGAACCAATAACTATCGTTTCTCGAGGAAACAATACAAGTCAACTGCCCCAATTATATAGTTGCTCCCTGTACACGGTACAGTGCAGAAACAATGCAGCAATCAACTTTATGGGGAGTGTCTTTTACCTACCCTGCTTACATCATTCTAGTAATGTTACAAATGCATTATTAACATCAAGGAAGGTAAAAACAAATCACTTGTTCACTTAGAGAATTCATCCAAGCACTCTTGCGGTCATTGATCATCAAGCAATCAATTCTTAAGTGCATCAAGAACAAAGAACAACACTACTACAGACCAGTTCCCTACAACAAGTCATTGTATGTCCTTAGTTGAGTTGTAACTTTATAATAGTTCTTAAACTGTATTTCCCACTTAGCTTGTTTAGAAGTATTTTGTAGGAAACTCTTTGTAAACCTTAAACCTTTGTGTTTGAGTCTTGGCTAGAGTTAGTCGAGTTGTAAAGTCTTTGTAATAGAGTTATTACAAAGTGGCTTGTAATAGAGTATTACAAGTTAGTAAGGGATTAAGAGGTTAATTCCTAGGTTGCATAGGTTGTAATCTAAAAGTTGCTCAGTAGTAAAGTTGAAATCCTACAAGGGTAGGTCGTGGTTTTTAATCCCGTTGAGCTGGAAATTTTCCACGTAAAATTCCTCTAGTCATTTACTTACTGTTGTGTGTGTGTGTTCCAGTGGAACCGATAGAGAACCTGATTCTCTATATAGTTTGGTGGACCCTTATATTCTATCAGGTTATGTTTATCACTGTAGACCCTATGTAAGATAGCTAGATTATGATGCAACAATATACAGAGTTGACAGTAAAAAGTTTGCAAGTTCACATCTTGATGGCAACAAGTAAATGAAAAGAACTACTGAAGTCATAGTGGAGTATATTTTGGATATTTAAATAGAAAATCAGAAGTTCAAACTGAGATTTAGGGGGTTCAGGATTTTCAAGATTAACTTGGTGTGCAAATTAGGGGGAATTACACATAAATACAACTCTCACACATATATTGTAATTAAGTGCCTATATTTAACTTTGCAAAGTTGTCGCCCAAACATAATAGGCTAAGATTCAACATCCAACTCCAAATAGGTTCTCGAAATAACTATTTGTTTTTTAAATATACAAGTTTTTAATCTAATTTTTGAATCAGTAATTGTTACTCAAACATTAGTTCAACAAACCAAATCCATTTGGGTGGTGAAAAGTGGATTTTTAAGATAATTCACCATTATTGAACATGCTTAAATAAGTATATTTATAAGAAATTTGGACTGGATATTGTCTAGACTTATTAGAAATAGTATAAAGAGGTTGTATACAAAATTTGAAGTCATTTAATGAAGATTTGGACTATTCCGCCATTGTTGAACAAGCTTACATAAGTGAGTTTAAATTTTGAATTTGGTTTTGTGAGAAATTTGGAGTGGGTGTTATTTAGACTTGTTAGAAATAGTAAAAGGAGGTTATATATAATATTTGAAGTCATTTAATGGAGATTTGGACTGGTTTTGAATAAGAATTGCAAGTGAAAATCGTGAAAAAAGTTCGTCTACAGACTCTTTTATAAAGGTGTAAAAAAGTGCATAATAGTGTATAAGAGGTGTTTATACACCCATGTACACTATTATATAATACTATACAAAAACTGATTTCGTCTTCTTCCTTGCGTCTTTTCTGAAATTGAACTCAAATCTTGCTCAAATCTACTCCAAACACTTTAAATTTAAATTTTAAACTCCTTTTGATGTTCTCAATCAATTGGAACAGCACACAATCCAAATAACTAACAAACTCAAAAAATTCTATTTTTGAAAGCGAAGCTTTGAATGTCCTTCAGTGGCGGACTTCTATTCTTCAATTTTCTTACATTGCAACCACCTTTTGCCCGAAGAGAGAGAAAGAGATTAGAAACACAATAAAACAATAAATCCATGGGGAAAAAATGAGGATTCTTATATGAAAAATCTCCCACCTTTTGTCTCTAGAAATTTCAATATCTCTCCACTTTTTGTGGTATGTTTGGGTGAACGAAAGCAGAGGGAAAAAGAAAGACANATATATATATATATATACTATAATAGAAACTTATTACTTATTTTCTTTAGGTTTTGTAGTTTTCAATAAGCATCTAGATTTTTCTTACAAATTGTATGTATTCCCCCTTAAACGACTCCCACCCCATTATTAGTCCCTCCAATTAAGGGATTCTATTACATCATTTCCTTTTTTTCCCTCTCCTCTCCTCTCTCCTTTTTTTCCCCTTTCCCTAATTTCTTCAGTTTGTTTGCCCAACACACTCATCTACAAATTGGTCCGTTTGAAGACCAAAAATACATATGATTCTCGAGCATACATACATACTCCCTCCGTTTCAATTTATGTGAACCCATTTGACTGGACACGGAGTTTAAGAAAAGAGAGAAGATTTTTGAACTTGTGGTGTAAAATGAGGCAGATATATTTTGTGTGGCTATAAATCATTGTATAAAGGTAAATTGTTTCCAAATAGGGAAAGTGGTCATTCTTTTTGGCACGAACTAAAAAGGAAATAGGTTCACATAAATTGAAACGGAGGGAGTACAATTTTGGGTTTTAAGATTTTGTGATTTGTTTGGATTGAATGTTATTGTAAGTGATTGAGAATATACTTTGGAGTTTATATCTCAATTTTAAGGGATATTGGTTAAGTGTATAGTTGGTTTTATGTGAAAAGTCAGATTGAAACTTAATAAATAAGAAGTTGCAGGAATTGTATGGTAATTGTATCAGAATTGTATCTGATACATCAATACCTAAAACATAATTATATCATAAATGTATCAAACTTGTATCACAATTTTATCTAACTTGTATTTGATACATTAATATCTAAAATAATACTTGATACAATACTAAGACAATTCTCAAACATTGTGATACAAACTACGACACATTTTTGAAAAATTGTGATACAATTGTGATTTTCATCCTTTTCAAGTTTCATTCACAACTGTAGACTTAAAATTTGATATAATATTATATTATAATTGTATTAGTATTATATCGGATATTATTTTAGGTATATGATCACGCCCAACTCTAGTCTTAAAAGGATAAATGGTCGCTGCAAATATAATTCGGTCTAAAAGTACGGAGTCAAATCTCACAGAGAACTAAGATTTCACTATAGTTATTCAATATCACTAAGAAGACAAGCTCGGACAATTTCTAAATTATAAATATTAAGATTTTTATGTCTAACTATTTAATAACAAATTAAGTAGTAAATTAAGAATTAGGGATACTAAGGGTTGGAGACTATATTAAGGAGAGGTCTAGAGTTATGATTTCCTCTATTGTCGGAATCCTTCCCTCTACGTCTCCTACAATTTCTTCTAAGTATTCTCTACTGATCGTGAGCACTCGATTTATCGTAATTCTATCTCAAGCAACTACAATAATGTACTAGTCATATTCTCTCGAATTATGCTAGCTCGCACTTTTTCACCGCTCACTATGATCACGTCAAAGCTTTGTTATCTCTAATTCCGCCCTTAAATCCTACGTATTGATCTCTCATATATTTTAGGAGTAACGTTACTCAGCAACCACATAAATATGTATCCGTTCTCAATCAACACATAATAAATAGGCATAATCAATCGATGGTCATTCAATCGACAATAATAAACACGTAGTTGAATAAGTAAGAATATTCAAAGGAAAAATTATATTAAAATGTAACAAGAATTCATCGTTCAATAGGTTCCATCAAACCCTAGATGAGAGAGTTTAGCTACTTATAATTGTATAAACAATCATAGTAATATTCAAAAGCATTAAACTATAGATTAAAAAGAACGGAGAGAAAAACTCTTGTGATCCGCGCTCCAAATTGTTATGTAGCCTTTAGCCTCTCCAATAATGTCTCTCTCTCTAAAAACTAAGTTTAGGAGGTATTTATAAGGTAGTGTTTGAATTCTACACGTCCAAAAATAGTGAGAAAATAAAAGTGGCTCGGATAAGCATCGTCGGCACGGGGAATTGTCATATGCACCAACTTTACTCTACGAGGCACTGTCAGAGGCACCAACATTTCCCCGCGAGGCACTATCAGAGGCACCAATGACAGTGCCCTGGATAAAGCCTTGCACTATCTATGGCCATGACTTTTCATTGCCTTGCACATCTTCTTTTATTGCTCTATTTTGTAGCTTTGAGGTACCATTTCGTATAACTTTTCTCCACTTCATGTCCAAGTATTCCTACACATAAAATAAACTCTATTAGGCTCAATTGTCGCACAAATTAGCATCCAAACAACAAGAAAGTAGGGTAAATAATGTCAAAATATATGGAATTATAGCACGACATCAACACCCCACACTTTCATGTTGCTCGCCCACCAGTCAACCAACCCAACACTTCCTCTTCAAGGACCCAACAAGCCACACATTCACAGCACACTACACCTATGACCATGGTTGGTAGTAACAATTAATGTCACGACCCAAACTAACCACTGTCGTGATGGCGCCTATCGTGGAACTAGGCAAGCCGACTCATTTTCAAAACAAACCGATATTTTAATTTCAAAGATAATTTCAATGCTACTTAACATAAAACCTTCATAAAGGAGTTCCAATCAAAATAAAAGTGCGGAAGGAAAAGTCCGACATCGGGGTGCCACTAGTCATGAGCATCTACTACAATCTGTCTAACAATATCAAGATTAACTCAGTTTGAAAAATAGCTAAATACAACTAAAGGAAGATAAGAGGGAGAAGAGCAGGGCGGTGATCGCCAGGCAGCTACCTTGCTATCCCCAGGAAAATCTGCAATCAGAACAATCAACAATCGCTACCGTGTCCAGCTACACCTGGATCTGCACACAAGGTGCAGGGAGTAACGTAAGTACGCTAACTCAGTAAGTAATAATAATAAATAAAGACTGAGCAGTAGTGACGATCAATAAAGCATATCAAGTTCATATCACAAAAATTCAGCAAGTACAACATGCTTTAAAAATTAGTGTTTGAATCAAATCATCTTGTTTAAACCCGGCTC